TAGCCATGAACTTCTTCTATGTCGTTGTGTCGCAGATTGTATTTTTAATCATTTTGTGTCCATATAAACAGACTAAACAAAAACATAAAAAAAATCTAAAGATAATATGAACTGTTTAATCACATGTTTTACGCAATTTCAATTTGCTATATTTACTGTAAAAAATTATACTGCACTTAGGAAAATTTCTTCTATAAGATGATAAAAATTAGTAGCGTGAATTGAAGAACTTTTCTTGTACGCTTTTGAAATAGCGTATATATCCTCAAAACCATTTTCTTAGTTTTCAGTTTCGAACATGCATTTTAAGTATAAATATAAAATAATAGAAAGTAATAAAAGCAGAGTAAGGACGTATAGTTGATGGTCTCCTATAAATCAAAGCCAAAGATGTGTCTACATTAATACGATAAGCTTATTGGACTAAAAATAAAATTTGAATGAAATGTGATCAAATATAATTTAAATAAAATTTATTGAAACATTCTAAACAAAAATTTAGCACGTGTTAAAAGTTGCCGACCGTTCACCCACTACCGGCTGAACGGAAAGGACAGTAAATTTGGGGCCGGGCTCAACATGTAAAATAAAAAAAAACGATGAAGGGTTAGATTAAAATATAATAAAATAGAACAAAATATCAAATATAATTTTCATTGCTCTATTTGAATCTGGATATATATTTATAAAAAAAATTAAAATCACAATAGTTAAGAACAGTTGTATACTTAAAAAAATGAAAAAGAAATTAAAATTAAAATTTTCATGATGAATCATTCCATAATTGAAAACTGCCTAGATAAGTATAATCCAATTTTAAGTTACAATTTACATTAGCATACTTCAGCACTATAATTTTTCGGCATACAAACAGCATCGCAAACTAAACCTTGGCAACAATCCAACGATGTTAAATTTTTGTATTGGCCTGGCAACGAGGTCAAAATAGTATTATAGTAGCGTAATAAGCAGTAAGTAATTACAATTCATGAGAATTTCTAATTTGAACTTTCTTGAAAAAATGTAAAACTTTTTAAAATGTAAAAATTGTGACATAGAAGATTAAGGGGGGCGATACATGTAACAATAAAAAAAAATCGATTTTTTTTTTCATAAATCGTTACAATAACATCTCAAAAATATGCCTGTAAATATTCAAAACAAAATTATCATTATTTATACAATAAAAACTCATTTAAGTTGAGTGCTATTGTACTCTTATCTGTTTCTATGTGTCAAAACTTTAAACGCGTTTTTCTCAAAACGACATTTTTGAAATTTGCGGGCGGGATAACTCAAAAAATTCTCAACCGATTCCAATGAAATTCTGCACACATCTACTTTACAGTAATAGCTTCTAGTTAAACCTCAAACATTCCAAAAAAATTTTCAAAAATTAACCCTTTTACCAAAAAAAAAACATTGAAAAAAAGGTGAAAAATCGAACTTTTTTTCTGAGGTGTGCCAATTTACGATTTTTTTTGGTTTAACTAGAAGATATATGTTTTATGAACACGTACAAACTAATTTTTTTGATTTCAAATCACCGTACGAAAAGTGAGAACGCCCGCAAATTGACGGCGTTTTCCGAGAGGGTTTTGGCAGATTTATTTTTACGGCAGCCATTTAAAAAAAAAATTAAAAAAAAATTTTTTTTGTGTATTTTAATATATAATAAATAACCCTAAAAAAGTTCAAAAAGATTCAGTCATTCCTTCCCAGTTTAAAAAGTCCTCAAAAAATGGTAAAAATTAAGGCGATTACATGTATCGCCCCCCTTAAAGTAATTTTTTATAAGAGAAAAATTTTTTGTAGCTCCATAATATTTTAAGATGTTCGTTGAAACCGTGGACATTTTCAGATCTCAACTTTAATGTGAGCTGACCTTAAATCTATTTTTTAATTTTTAATCTATTTTTTTTATATACTACGTCACTCAAATTCATAGGATGACACATAGATAGTGTTGCTATTTAATAATCCATGTCATTTGTACCAACTATAAAAAGATAAGTTACATAGGTTCGAATAATGCCATTTTTCAGTTTTTTTCAAACAAAAAAAAGAATTCAAAGCAATTTCGTGTGTTGATTTATCATTGGTTTTTGATGAATAAAAATACCATCACTGTCAAAGCATAAATTGATAAAAGTAATCCGGAATGTAGTAATCCCCATCGAGGCAAACGCTGGAGAAGTGGTTTGCTGATTTTGAACGTGGCCGTACAGACACTGACGATGTTGAAGCTCTGGAAGGCCAATTCAGGTGGTTACACTGGAAAACAAAAAATCTCGACCGAATCGTTTTGGAAAACCGAGAAGTGAAATTGCGTGAGATAACTGACAAGCTGTGTGCAAAATGCCTGACGCGCGAAATCACATTTGACCAAAAGCATAACGAGTTGATGATTCGGTATTTAGTGCTCTTTAATCGAAAAATCTGAGCTTTTGCATCAATATATTACCATGGATGTGATCTGACTTCACCACTACACTTTGGAGTCGAATAAACAGTCAGCCGAGTGGATTGGTTACGTTGAACCAGGAAAAATGCAAATTATCAGCTGGCAAGGTTATAGCGTCAGCCTTTTGGGATTCGTAAGGAATAATCGACTACATACATATCTTGAAAAAGGCCAGACGATCAATAGTGAGTATTGAATAACCCAATAATTTCTTTAGATCTATTCCCCAGCGACCATGTCCTGCTTTCAGGTGATCGCGGAATTGTGGGGCAAAATCCTACGAAAATGGTATCAAAATGTTTGAAGTTCCCTATTATCAATATATCGTTCTCAAAGGCAACTATATTGAATAAAAAATAGAATTTTAACAAAAATGTGTTATTCTTAGTTATCTTACGCACTTATTGATTGATGTTTTAATATATACGTATTAAAATTTGATAATTATAATAAAAACTTGATAATTTACTGTACGACGAACATAACGTAGAGTGCTTTGTGAGTATCATAATAACGCTATGTGAGTATATTCATTGCGGATAATCGCATAGAATATTTATAGCAAGAATAATTTTAATATAACTATGAATTTAATTTGGAAATAAAAAATATGGTGAACTAATTGGTCATATTTAAAAGTGTGTTTCTGTTTCAAACAATTTTTAGTAAACAAATATCATAGCATATCATATGTCAAATAAAGATAAAAGTAAATTGTATTAACAAAAACAATTAATTATCACTCTTGACACAAATTTGTAATAGTGAATAATGATAAACAACATGGAACAATGTAATAAATAAGCAATCAAAATTAATTCGCCTGGCCGTATGACTACAAATCATACGAATCATATTATGGAGGCGACACCTTAAACCACCGGCAGTACCAAAATTGATTTGCCAAATTTCGTTATGATTTTTATCTCAACATTGAAAAACGCTCTGATCGTCGAATTAAAATTGATGACGGCCTAATCAAAGCAATAATAGATTTGGATAGTCATAGCACAACATGTGAGATGGCAGAGAAGTTTCATGTATCACACAAATATGCATTGAAAATTATTTAAAAAAAACGTTGCTATGTTTTGCTATGTGAACTAGATACGTGGGTTCATCGCAAACTGATTAAACAATGCTTACTAACAAATTAAATAATGCAGTTGAAGAAGAACACCGCGAATTGATGTATTCCATCAATACATGATTATTAGACCTTGTTTGGGATGTTTTGAATATCCACTATATAATGGAGGCACCACCATACTTTTTATTTCGATATCTAAAAAACACCTTGAATGGTTAAAATTTCAATAGTGACGATATATATACATATACATATTACAATAAAATGACGATGGTAAAAAAGAAAACTCACGTATGAGGATGTGTGAAAGTATAAATGTATATTAAAATCTGCTACGTTTTCAGAAAATGGATTTAGATGGTTAAAACATTGATTAAAAGGACAATGTGGTGAGTCTGTTGGATTGTATCAAGTCAACTATTTCGAAGATACCGCGGAAAAAGATTTAATGACTACATCGAGGTCAAAATTAATATTTGATTTATACGCTTCAAATTAGCAGTTTTTATCAAAATAAAATTCACATCAATTCACCTTTATACTTTGATATTCACAAATTTGTTATTCGAGTAACTTCGAAAATCAAAGAAATATCAAAAAAACAAACTATTGTTAACACAAATCATCAGTTTTGCACAAACCAAATATTTATTTTATTTATAAAGCGGGATATTCCAGCAATTTTCCATAAGGCTTTTTTTATTACAGTAGTAACTTAAATATAATTTACAATAAGAAATACTAGGTATATTTAAATAATTTAGGTACATAATAAAAATCTATATGACCTATTATTAGATTATGTTATATTATATCATATTTCTGGCTTTTCGCTTCCAAGCCTCGTATAAAATTCTTGTTTTATAGTAGTGTTTGTTAATTTTTGAACAATTGAAAATAAAAATTCTAAATTATTAATGCGAGAGGTTATGTTTTTCCGTCTTAGGAATTTTTCATTCAACTTTTATTTTCATTTCATTTCATCGTAGTATATATCATTCTCACATATTTGATGAATCGTAAGTTTATTTTGAAGTAATTTCTAAAAACAATTTAAACATATATTTTTCGAAAACTCGGGACAATTCGGGGCAAATATAGCTTTTAGAAAAACCCGGGACACAAAGTGGGAATCTCGGACTGTCCCGGCCAAAACGGACCGGGTCACCTCGATCACCTTAACCCTTTCGTTACTCTAAATTTTACTCAAAAAAGTGATATGAGACATTTTCAAGGTAATCTTGGAAAACGTAATAGCAAACACCAAAGACTACTACACTTTTAGGCGCGGTGCCCCGTTCAGTAGTGTCTCTCCGGCGGAATTGGCTGCCGTAAGAAAAGGGGTTGATAGTAGGAATATCCGTTTTAGCTTTACCGAAACAAACCCATGCTAAATATTATTGATACAATAAAAGCAAGTAAAGCTCAAGAAAAGAATCGACTTACCCTTCGGATTCAGTCGCTCTGGATTGAACCATGCATCTGAAACAATACATAACATATTCTTGTTAGCATAAGTGCGTTAGCGTTAGTAATTAGAATGTAGCTCAGAGATCGAGAATACACAACTCAAGTGTTGAAAAATACAAAATTCATAATAGTTTCATCTGCTACTCTTTACCTGCTTATGTATTTTCGATCTATGAGTTGAAAGTAAAAGCTCTGAAATAAGTAAATTTAGAATTAATAATTAGGATATGATTATTAGATGCCTTGTACATATTATAATAGATAAGTTATATTTAGAAACACATGCGGTTAGTAAACAGATTAATATTTAGTGCAACTTATATTAGATAAGCCATATGAAACCAATAGCATACATATATTATACAAGAAGATAAGTAAAAATGATAAATTTGAAACAGAAAAGCGTTTGTTAACATTTGCATAAATCAGGTTTTCGGTTGCCACTGAAAAACTATGTAAATAAGGCTAAAATGTATAAATTAATTTTTTATCATATTTGATATCATCCATTTCAGGTTATAAAAATATATTTTTATGGCCAAATTGTATAAATTAAATTATTTTTTTTAACAATTCATTTCATCCAATTCAGGTTATAAAAAAATATTTTATTAAGTGTGGATGTAAACTGCGATCAATAGCTATCTGGCAATGCCAGAGATAAAACGAATGTACGTGTGTTTGGCACAGACAATCGTTCAAGCACGCAGCGAAATTCTGAACTATGATTTTTTATATTTCAACCTATAATATTTTATTATTATTTCAGACTATGAAATCTATCGTTATACAAGGTTTCGTCAGAATCGCCGAAAACAATTTTTTCAACATTTGATTACGAAGAAACGGCCTCCCAATATCTTCGCTGATATTCGAAAGAATGGGTCCTATATTTTTAAAATCGGTTCAGCCGTTTTCGAGAAGACGTCGGCCAAAGCCCAAAAATCAACTCACACATACATACTTTTGCAAAACCTGGTCTCATTCGATTCAGAATAACTTAGAACATCAAGAAAACATAAAATTAGCAAATCTTATTTTTTCTGCGAAAACAAACTTCTCATCGGGAAGTTAACAATGGTTGGTATAATGAATTAATAACAATTTGTTTAAAGTTTTCATTATATATCCAAAGAAATATTAAATCATTCATATTGGTCAGTCAAATAACCATTTAAATGTATTAAAAAATAATTGTTATCACCAATATAATCGAATCATTTGGTATTGGTATATGTCACAGCAGAAGACTCTTTAATGCCCTTAAGATTCAAAAGCTATATTTTTTTTAAATAAAAATTGTACAAATTTTGAATAATGTAAATTTATTGTAATATATCTTTGCAATATTTCTCTATGGAAAAATTTATTATACCTATTTTATTCAGATTTTCACATTGAAAGAGAAGATAAATTTATATTCGTTAAAAAATTCTTTAAAAAAGACAACTTAGGAAGGAAAGCTAACTACAATACATTCAATTGAATACGCATTTAAATTTCTAATTTATTTGCTCGTAAAAATAAAATATCTATAAATTCAATCGACTTATATTTTTTCACTGACGCATTCATATTGTTTAATGAACATATATCAAACATTTCAAGATATGGCGTAGAAGAATTAATAATTAGAAATATCAAATGTTTACAGATAAAGGAAAACAATTTGTCAGAAGTAAATATATGACGCGATGTAAAATTCATTGCAACGCATTAAACGATATATATTATAAAGAATAGAACTGAAAAGTTTTTAATCAAATTGACAAAGGTTTTTTGAGGTTTTGAATTTTACCTGATCTACTTAATAATTTAAAATATGTGTTATGCATATGCTATCTCAAAACATTCCAACGAGATGTTAACTTTAGTCTTGAAAATGCCTTTTTTCATTATCACTTGTAATTAGTGTTTTCTACTTAACACTGACATGAGATTTATGGGCACAACGTACAGTCAAATTAGAAACTATTCGAAATACAAAAGGTAATCTTATTTTATTAAATATTACTGTAAAATACAGAATTCAATTCTTTTATCCAATTTTAAAAATTCTTTTATCATTTATTTTAAAATAAGTAATAAACGACAAAAGTAAAGTATGCTTCAACGATCATACAGTTATGTAGTATGCAAAACGTGATAGAAAGCAAATTATAATGCAAAAGTCTATTTAAAATTTTCATTTGTTCTAATCGGGTCTTTGATTAGCGCGCGGTTTGCAATCAGGCGGGTCGCGTGTTCAATGATTCCCGTCTTAACAATCCTGATATCAAGCAGTGCCGATATCAATTTTTACTTGGAAATATAGATCTTAAATATGTTTTCAAGCGTAAGCCCTTCCTGGGCATTACTGCACCAAATTGAATTTAGTCAGGCCTATCAGATAAATTCTAATAATACAGTAATCAAATAAGAAAGGAACAACTGTTGGATGGTTTACCATCTAAAAATACGACGTAAGTAAAATTTTCAGCCCAACAAATTATAGGACGTAAGGTTCTGATTGCTGTTAAAATTAAAAAAAGTTCACATACGTATGTTATATTCAGTACGTATTAACAAAAAATGGTATCAATATTAGTGATTTTAAAACTGATATTATGAATTTTTTTTAAACTTGATACTTTTGATTATCCAGTAATTTCAACTTGATTCCCATACAAACTAAGTTTCACTAATTTTAGTATTTTAATTTATGTTATGTCAAATTATTTAATTTTTATCAACAGCAATCTGTTGTGATGTAATACTTTATCACCTAGCATTACTAGAATGCAACCTATACTTTATGAGATTATTGTTAGGTATGTTTACTTTTATGTTTACTTTTTTTATCGAAATCAAGTAAAACCTGATATTCTAATGCTTGGTATCAGGTTGTCCGAGACAAAAATAAAACCTGGAACTTGTGCTTGCAAGACCGAAGCTCTTACCATTTAAGCCATAAGCAAAACTTATATTTAAAATAAAAAATATGTACGCGGTGGTAATAGTAATATTAAGAAATTACAAAAATATTAGAACGTAAAAAATTAGGTCAAGAGTATCAGTTTCTAGTATCAAATCGATACTAGGAATTCGAATCATTGTGTCAACCATTGAACATTAAATTATATTTTCTCAGTTTTTTGTTATTATATTAATTAAATGACGTGGCTTTATAGATCGCAAACCAACGGTTGTCTTCCATTGATTAACTTTATCATTAAATGTAATTTGATGCAGCAATTTCCCCAATTTAAAATAAATTAAAAATAATGAAATTGCGGAACTAAGACCCTCCAAAATAAAAAAGTGAACTCTAAAGAAAAAAATGACAAGATAAAGCAATCAAGATACGATGATATGACAATAGTTACTGTATTGCAGGTTGCATAACAGTGGAAATTTCAAAGTACACTTGTTTACAACAACATTTTTGTCCAACAATGACTAATACCATATATCAAGGACGATGAGATGTTAGTTGCTAGATGCGTAATGAAAGAACAATAAAATGTTTTACGATATTTGAATTAATTGTTGAATATGATTTATTGCATATGCTGTCGTTAAAAGGCAAATTTTTGCTTAAAACCATGGAAGATTTTAGGAAGGGATACATATTATTACAATATTCAATAGCCAGAGATGATGACAAAGATAGATGTTGTCACATTATAACTTATAAATCATGACACTGCAGAAATGATGATTAGTCATAACATTGAGATTCTATGATGAAACATTTAGCTAATTTGGATTTAGATGAATAGAAATAAGTGTAAATTATTAATGACGATAACTATTAGATTTAACCAAAGTGAAAATTATACTTTGTATATAAAATTGACCTACAAGGATTCATCAAACAGCATATAACAGCTGGTTTTCCACTTTTTGGAGCAGCTGGAGGCGGGGCCGTTGGCTTGAACGGTACTTTGGCGCCTGCATCGGCAGAACCATTCAGATCTCCGGAAGCTGCCGATTTTGTATCAAAATCTGCGTCCATTCTGATAATGACAAATAGTTTTGGACCTCGGTTTATAGCGCTCCGTCTCTCAAATAAACTTTTATTAAAAAAGAAATACTAACGGACAATGAACTTTGTTTTTCTTTATTGCACCACTTTTATTATATCACGTATGTGTGATCACTTTTTTGTAACAACCCTTCGCGCGCACACACATGTAAATTCACTCTGAAACACACCCAGCACTGTTTTTAACGCAAAATCGAATGCAACTTGGATGACACCTGTCTTACAACGTACTAAAAAGTCTTCAAAATGCTTCCAAATACTCGTGTTATCTTATAGATAAAATTATTTTTTGAAATTTGATTAGGGCTTTTCCAAACTGACAGCTCTGATATTTTCGAAGGACTTTGAGTCACTACGATACCAATACTACTACGTAACCAGGCAGTGGCTGCAAGAGCGTGACCGATGTACAAACTACCATGAGAATGGAAGACGCGTGCGAAGGTGACAGCGCGATCCGGCAATGGCTGGACAAACGTATTATCGAACGGTGGCGCACTGGCTGATGCGCACCAAGCAGGGCTTGCAAACTGGATAGTACTTGAAATAAACAACGTACGCGCTATTAAGTAACAAAAAAGCTTTTAATAAGTCTAAAAACAAACAGAAACTAGTAGTATGTGGCATCGTGTCTTAAGGCAAATTGCTGGAACTACCCGCACTGTAATTTAAAACTAAAAGCTTTAAAAAACATTTTTGAAAAAAATAGATTCATGAGCATTTTGACATTATTGAAAAACGACTTTAAGCAACATTTATTTTTTCTTATATATTTTAAATATTTTTATATTTTATATATTTTCTCAAAGCAATCGAGCTGCATAATATACACAAAATTGGTACTTATTATTAAAATTATCTGATAATTTGATGCACGTATATGTCTAATGATCGGCTCGCCCGTAGGTAAGCGGTTAAGAGCGACAGGACTTGTTTCAGAGGTCCCGGGTTCGATACCCACTTCGGGCAGCCTGTTGTCAGGTAA